AGAGAGAGAGAGAGAGAGAGAGAGAGAGAGAGAGAGATGAAATAGGGAAGGTAGAAAGAGATAACTGAGATTTGATTTGAGAAAGTCAAATTTCTCTGTGATATATGGGTGTGAGGCTGAAGGATCTTAGATATCATAAAATAATATTGTGGATCTCTTCTATTACTTAAAATGAGAAAAAGATCTTAGACCAATTTTTTTTAAAATATAAAAATAGATAAATTAAAACTATTAAAATAAAAATAAAATATAAAATTATATCGTTAAAATAATTGAATTTAAATTCAAAACCCGACCCCCTCATCATTTGATTCCATTCTTTTCGGTTTTCGTTCGTCACTCGGCTTGTAGTATTCAACTTAGGTTTTGTTAAAAAAGTTACAAAATTAATACGAAAAATCAATTCGTTCTGTTCATGTCTCTTATATTTTTTTCATAAGAAATTAAAAAAATCAATTTTCAAATCAATTCTTAATTCTTGCATGGGTGGAGTATATTTCCATAATTTAAATCATTCATATTATAGGTCTGTCTGTCAAGAAAATTATTTTTATAAAAATATAATTGTTTGAACAATAATAATCATATGATTAGATCACATTTGTCATATAAAAAATAATAATTATACTTTAAAAAAATTATTATTTTAAAAACAAATATAATATTATAATGAATCTACAATTATTCGATCAATATAATTCTTTGTGAGTATAAACTTATCAACGAGCCTGATAATATGAATGGCTTAAATTATTAAGTTATCCTTGTCATAAGCCCTCGAAAGCCCAACCACTATAGGTCCTATGTGATGTGAGTCTTACACCCATGTGAGTATTTGATAGAATATTTGGTCATTCATTTAGAGTCTTTAGCAATTTTGTTTTGAAAAATAACACCACTGAAAATAATTTAAACACCAAATGACTAATTCAAAAAAATAAATAAATAATACTATACTTGTGATTAAACAAACATTAAAAAAAAACTTTAAAATACTAATTAAAAAATATTTAAAAACGTAATTGGAAAATACTATATTTTTTAAAACACTAATTCAAGAAAAAATAATAGTAAAAAATTATATGTAAATTTATTTGTGATTAAACAAACATTAAAAGAAATCAACCAATTGTGAAAAATTATTAGTTGTTATCTGTATACAGTTCAAATGAGTGTTGTATGTGGTGCAACTAGAAAATGTTAGGTGCAATTAACAACTGTGTTTAATCCCACAAAATTTTAAAATGCATCCAAAACAGAGTAAAATATATATATATATATATATATATATATTTCTTTATGTTTTTTTTTATCAGCATATATTTCTTTATGTTTTATCAATGGGTTATTTATTAACATTTGTAGTGCAATTTTACTTGCAATTTAATTAGCTTGAATTTTCACAATTTGTGTAGCCTTAAAGAACTAATTCTTCTAACTTCTAAATATTTTCTAAATTGCGTGTTTAAAAACATATTTACTCAAATGACTTAGCTTTTTAAAAAATATATATATTTCAAATTATTTGCTCAAATTAGTGTCTTCGAAAAATTAAATATTTTCAAAAAATAGTTTTTGTTAACTACTTGAATAACTACCATGTTAGTGCAATAAATATTCAACCCTCACTTTTTTTGCTATTAAAATTGATTCTTCAATTGAAGTGTAATTTACTCGCCGTGTTAATTATACTGAGCATTTCTGTACTTTTATTGTAATCTTATTTTAATTCTTTCACTTTCAATTGTGATAGTCAGTTCCCTAAATTTTAGGTCAAGTTGGAATCTTACTCTTCTGTCCATTTATCCTTAGTAAGGTTGATAATTTTTTAAACTGAATGGACCAAAATGAGATTTTAGTAAAAGTGTAAAAATTAAAGTGAGATTTTGATGAAAATATAAGAGTGTTAATAAGATTTACAAAAAATAAATAAATAAATAAGGTCTCATTTAGCACACATGACAAATTTCATAACTTTATTAACGGTATATTGATAGAAAGGTGACATTACATATTGACTTAGAATATAAGGAATTGACTCACAATTAAAAGTGAAAGAATCAAAGTGAGATTACGACGGAATAAAAAAAATGTTAAAGTGCGTGCAATTCAAGTCTTATTTCTCTGCATTCCACTAAAACACAGTTTTTTCCTCTAGATGCCAATTAACCCATACTGGTATGTCTTGACAATAGCTTACAATTTTTTTCTTCTGGATGCCAATTAACCCATATTAGTAAGTCTTGATATAATAGCTTGAAGATGCGTCCCTCTTGACTTCAAGTACCAACTAGCAAGCATTCTACGTTGTTTGGAATGATTTAAATAAATGTACTCTTTAACTTTTTATGAAAAGATGTGCGAAAAAATAAAGAAGTAATGTGACGATAAAAAGTGTGCTTATATAGCACATCCCAAACAAATAAGCCTTCTTATAATAGCTTGAAGATGGGCCCTCTTTCAAGTACCAAGGTGAGTGAGATTTAAGATTTGAGTCTACTAATTGATATCTTGTGGAAGAATAAAAAAGATGTAACTCAAATGTAGGGGTGTAAATTTGGCCCACCAGCTAGTGGTCCAGTGTTGCTCAACCTGGATAGGCCTATCCAAACCCGGGCCTGAGCACAACCCGAGACCTTGGGCCTAGGCTGTCTGTTTTGAAGCCCAACCCGACCCAAAGTCCACTCCATCAGCCTACTCAAGGTCCACTCAAGGCCCGGTCCACCTGGGGCTCAGTGTCATTTGTGGTGAAAAAAATAAAATTTTGATGTAAAAAAATAGAAAAAATAGTCAGGCTCGACACTAGCCTGAGTACCCCCCAGGCCTAGACTTGGGCCTAATTTATTTCGCCCGTAGGTTGGGCTGGCCTAGCCCTGCCTGAATTTTGATAGGGGCCTGCGTAGCCCGATAGTAGGACAGCCCAAGCCCAGGTGGGCTATGCTAGGCCAGGCCGACACAGGCCAAATTTATACCCCTACTTAAGTAGCTTTGAATGGTTTGAGAAGTCATCCAGTCTGATTTGAGTTATGGTGAAAGTTACCCAAACTCAAATTGCAACTTGAGATTTTTTGTCCACACCCGAGCTGAGTTAGGTTTGAATTATGTAAAATACTTAAGAGTTACTTTAATTGACCATAAAGTTGAGGCTTTCCTTTTCTTCTTCTTTTTTTCTTTTTGTTTATAACCAGGTTGATTAATTTGTTAAAATTATACTCTATCAACAATTTTTTTTTGGTAAAATCATTAATAATATTAAAATAAATAATTACAATGACACGAAAGATGAGAATTGAAGAGCCGATATGCTGCTATGGTGGTCTTTATATTTTCTGGGTGATAAAACAAAATGATAAAATATTGTCTTGCATTACTATTGTATATGATCTAACAATTCAAATTATTGTAACATCATCCAACTGCTAATAATTATATGTATATTTAATATTATTACATATTCTTATATACAATTCAGTCTTTGGGCTGCTCTAGTTGTTTGCTGGCCCAAATCCACCCGAATTTAATTGAAATTTCTAAATTCCTATCAAAACTCACACCAAACTTAAAAATATATTATCCAACTTCTAAAAAACTTTAACTAATAAGTTCGGATTAAGCCTGCCTAAGTTATACCCTTACCAGCACAAGCTTCTTTATCTCTGTGGAGTACCAACTTTTGGTCATTCTCTAATATCCAACTAGGCTTTACATCACCTCGTCCTTGCAGGTCAATAATTGAATTTATCATGATTTCCTACTTTCAATAATCTTTTATCACTACTTAAATTTGAAAATCTCCAGTGTGTGAAATTTTTAGTTTTGAAACTGAAAACTGTGACACTGTAAAAATTCAATCTTCAAGCTGTATTTTTCAGAGTACCAACACAATTTGAAAGTGAAAAAAAATAAAAAGTAATAGGACCAAATGAAAACAAGTACATAAAGTAGGGCTTATCACTAATTTTCCATCAAAAGAAAAGTTTTTGAATAAAAGAGGTCAGGTTTTTAACATTTTTTGTTTTTTAACTCAAGATTAATTACATTTCACCCTCTTCAACTATAATTAAAATCAGTTTACCCCCATCAATTTTAAAACCGTACATTTATACCCCTAAACTATCAAAAAACTAAACAAAAAAATCTTCCTAGATAATAAAAAAATTGTCCCGTGTTTGTTTTTTGTTTTTGTTTTTACCAAAAACAAACATAAACATGGAAAGTCTCTATTTTCACACATCATTTCTTCTTTGTGCACACACTTAATGAATAAAAAATTATTACAATTTTACCACTAAATAAAATTACTAATATAGACATTGTAACACAACCCACATTAAAACTTGAGTTTTCTCAGTACACAACCCACTTTTATCTTTCGCTATTGTTCATAAGTTTCTTGAGAAAGTATTTGTGACAGAAAGTTGACTCCCTTATTGCTTTTCTGATTAATATTTTTATCAAGTTTTATATATATGTATGTATTTGTATGTTATGTGTGTGCCCTCACATAGATTTGGGGGTTATTGAGCTAATGATAATTGATCTGGCAAAAAGATTTGTTCAATCAAAAATTGAAACAATCACAAATTAACGTGTTTGATAACTAGATGCGTGTATGTTGGAGTCTTGAACGCCTTCAAGAGAGAATAAGGTTGAAGCATTTAACATCTTGAATAAAACTCCTCTTATGCTGTGTTTTTTACTGAGGTTGTGTTTGGTTGGGACATTTAGAAATGGATTTGGAAAGAGAAAAGGAAAAAGTGTATGAAACTAGGTAAAATTTAAGCAAGTTTTATTCACATTTCACTTACCTTTTCCATTTCTCTTTCAAAATCCCTCATCAAATCCCCCAACCAAACACACCACTAGTGTTGTGTGTGTGTACTATATTATCTTGAGTAGGGTATAATTGGAACAATTGTGTGTGGATTGATAGAAATAAAATATTTCAAATTCAGTAAGTGTGCGCCTTGAGAGATAATGTACACATGGAACAAATGGTGTGTGAGAATAGAATTACTCATAAACATGTTTAATGCATTTTTTTGTAAAACAAAAAATAATATGTAAACAATTACAAAAACAGTATTTCCAAGTGGCTTGTATTTTATCTAGTCACATAAAACCAGTAATGAACACATCCCTCTGCCAACCTTGCAACAAGGACAATTCCCATCATAATTACACAACAAAACCCTTGCCACAAAAGTATACTGTAAATCAAAAGAGTGAAGGTTGTACCTTAAATAGGGCTGGCTCTGCAACTTGAAATCATTTTCTTTAACAAAAATCCCTTGGGAGCATCCAACTGTTTTTGGGATCTCCATGTTCCTCTCTCTACAATATTGTTACATCCAAAGAATCATGTTGTCAAAAACCGCAAACAGAAATCACCGGTTTTGGAGGGCCTCAATTGCCTTTTTCCATTGCATCGCTCGTTGCTTCACATCCTCAAATGACAAAACCTTCTTCGGCTGCAGCCAAAAAATAAATAAATTTGAGGCCAATAAATGGAATGAAAATTAGGCACATTTTGTTACCATTCTTTTGGTCATTGCACTGAGGGAAAAGAAAATCACAGAAATGGCACATGTTAAGCTAACACCAATTTTTTAGAATCAAATCATTTCTACATTAGGAAATATCTATCCTTCACAGAAAATTATAGAGAAAACACCAGAAAAATAATCTCGCAAAGCCAGTTTGTAAATAAAAACCATCTTCATGAATATTTGAATTTTTTGATTGTATATCATCACTCTGACTTATTGAAGTACTTGGATTACATCCACCATGATAAGTGACTGCAGTGACAATAGAATACACCTTGATCAGAGTAAATATGTGGCCCCAATGAGAGGAAAGTGGACTTACAGTGAAAATCTTGAAAAGAGAAGGGCTCATAACTTGGACGTTAAGTTCATTAGAGTTGTCAGACCAGATTATATTCCCTTTAACCACCAACTTCGAAGGATCCAAATAAATCAACTTCGGCTTGTTTGTGAGGATAAGCTGAACTTTCTTGTTTGTCAGTTTTTGAATCTTCTTGACCATTGAGATCATAAGGACAGATTCACCAGGCTCCAAAAACTGTTGCCTGCGAAAATTCCAGAACAATGAATTAGATAAAGCCAATTTGATGACCAAGTGAAACTAGCACAAAGTTCACAGCTGAAACATTGTTTGGGATGCAACTAAAAAAACTGCTTTTTGGCTACATAAGCTAAACAGGCAAAAAATTATCAACTAAGAAAGTCAAAAAGCAAGTCAACCTTTCCACTCACCAAAAAGCAACTTTTTTAGCAACTTTCCAAACACATTAGCTTTTTTAGCTTCTTAAAAAGCCAAAAAGTCGCTAAAAAGTCAATACCAAACAACCTAAATCTCAATGGCGGTTTACAATGACAGGAAGTTGATGAAACAACAGCAGTAAAACAACACTCGATATTTACCATTTTGAATCAAAAGAATCAATTGAAGCAATCCTAGTTACATGGCCAGCGTCAGAAGATGATGCAGAACCACCATTCCCATCATGTTGTCTTGTTGAACCATCCCCAACGTGAGATGGGTTCCAAGAAGAATCCTGAACATCATCACTGTCACTCGAATGAGCCTAAAAGATTTGAGACAGCAAGTTAAAATAATTGCACGCAAGTCATTTAGAACCCACAAAACTGCCAGGGGAAAGAAGGATTCCTTTGTCAAAAAAAAATAAATAAAAAATAAACATCAATATTAAAACACAAAGAGAACATATAGAAAGCATACCTTTTGCTCCAAAGCAAGTTGTGGAGGATTTTGCGCCCTTAAATTCTTCCAGTCAACTCCCCTAAAGAACGGATGCATCTTGAGTGAATCATAACCATCAGGCCCGGCACCTGGTCTTCTGGTGGGGTCAATATCCTGTGTCATGGTTTCACTGTTAGTTAAAGGCAAAGTTAGACACTTCAATAAGAGTCCGTTTGGATGGATGTGGAGTTGATATTGATAATTCAAGGAGAATAACTCAATTTTGGATTTGATGGTTTATCTATGAATTTCAAGATTAAATTGAATAGCTTTATCATTATGTATTTAAAATAACTGTATAAACGTAGTTATTTGAAATCATGCTAAGGATTCTCTTCTAGCTACAAAGATCTACTAAAATACATCTTTTTATCTCAACTTATTTTCAGAATAACTCAATTTTGGATTTGATGGTTTATCTATGAATTTCAAGATTAAATTGAATAGCTTTATCATTATGTATTTAAAATAACTGTATAAACGTAGTTATTTGAAATCATGCTAAGGATTCTCTTCTAGCTACAAAGATCTACTAAAATACATCTTTTATCTCAACTTATTTTCTTCTATAGGTTTTTCTAATCCACTTATAATAGCTTACTCTTCAATATTTTTAACCTCAAACCCCATGATTTGAAATGCACATCCATCCTAACAAACCCTAAAGAAAATGGTACAAGCATTTCTTTAAACTGAGAAAACAAAGGATGTAATTTTGTTGCCAAGTTAACTAAAGATCCTCGGATTTAATAGAATTTTAAGGCTTATGCCCAGAGGAGTGACTTAGGAGAAGGCTTGAGAAAAGTAAGCTCCCTCCAGGTTGGGCCTCTAATGCTTAATCCTAGAAGGCTTATGTCTTGGACTGAAGCTTACATGAAACATAACCTTCTGATCCCCTTTCAAAGTTACATTTACATTTACTATTCATTTTGCAATTTTGAGGGTTTTGAATGACATCATTTCTTTTTCATTTTGACAAATAACATAAACACCAATAGGTGTTAGGGGGTCTTAACAAGAGTAGATGTGAACTATATAATAAAAAGCAAGCTAAACAAAAAAACTATAAAGGATCCCTCTACTCAGACACTCAAGACTCCTAAGAAGTTCACATAGAGGTCAATAAGCCAAGGCATGAGAACCAATAAACCAAACAACTCAATATCAAAATGCTTAAGCTTCCAGTAACTTGAACAATTGTCTTTCTCTCCTATTATACCAAAAAAAGGTATAATGGTGCCACTTCCACATTTTCCTTAACCTAATCCTCCTCCATGGACAACACCCATGCCCAAGGTTTCAAAAAGCGGTGTTACGTAACGGTTGTTGGTGTTACGTAACGGTTGCGGCTGTAGGCACTACCCGTCACACCCGCTTTTGCGGTGCAACGGAAATTCACACCATGCCAAAATCTACCATTTCACACATTCAATGGATGACTCAGACTCAGTGAACCCCAAGAATAACTAGCAGCTAACTCTGTCGCTAAGCTTGACACAAAAACTTTACTCTAGAGGCCTTAAATATCAATGAATCCTCCCTATCACCAAGAGGCATGAATCCATAAAGCAATCAAAGCCTGCATCAAGCAAACAACTGCTTCTTGATCCAAGTACTGAGCTAGCACAATGAATTGTAAATACCAAATGGGTCCTTGATCCATGAATTTAATCATCTGGTATTTTTGAATGACAACTTACCAAATTAGAAGTTAATTTTCTATCAACCATCTTCTAGTAAAAAAAAATGGTCATTCTCTTTTTGATAGTGATATGCTGAATAATCTAGCTATTCAAATAAGAATAAATATGCAAGGACTTTAATTACAAAGGTGCCGTTTAGTAACACTTACGTTTTCAGTTTTCTGTTTATATTTACAAAAATTTTAAAATCTCAAATAAAAACTTGTTTGGTAAAATTTTTGATTTATAAATCAGTGGTCTCAGTTTATAAATTTGGCCAAAAAATGAAAACACAAAAAATGTGTTTCCATTTTGAGTTTTCAGTTTTTTTTTTTTTTCCCAAAACTAGCCACCACCCGTCACCATTTTCCCACCAACTCGTTACCACCCGCCACCATCATCCACCCACCCACCATCACCACTTTCCACCACCGTCTTCCGCCGCCACTTGCCACCATTCGCCATTTCTCACTCTTTTTTATATTTTAAAGTTTTTTTAAACATTTTGTCAATTACCAAACACGTTTGTAGTTTATGTTTTTCTAAAAATAAACAAAAACCAGTTTATAAAATTTTTGTAAATATAAACTGAAAACATAAACGTTACCAAACACACCCAAAGCAATGCGAATCTTGGTTTTGCCTTTGTTAGAGATAAGATTCTAAACATGTAATGATCTTATTTTAACAGACTTATACCACGATTTTCAGATATTGCAACTCCTTAAGTACTCATACTATTAATAAGTAGTTGGCCCACAACAACATTTGTGAAGCAAGCACACATGCCAAGGCACAATTGCAGCTCACTCAGATAATTTCCTTGGAGCCATCTGAGGTCTTATACATTGAAGAATGAAGCCATCTATGTAATTGTAAGAATACAATGTGCTGTTAGCATTATGGCTCTGCATAAAATTGAACTGGAAATCAAAAAACTTTTATGAACCTAATCAGTTTGGATAGGAACCAATGATGCCAACAAGAATGCAAGGCAACAAATGGCATTAACATTAATATTGGATACAAGATAAGCAAATCCAGAATGTAATTTATCTTTATAATTGTCTTATTTTTCCAATTTTATGGAAAAGGTAATGCCCACGTAGGATATATAGGTTCTCCCAACAATATGCCAATCATCAATTCTATCTATACCTGTCTCCAGAAAGTTCATCAATTCTCTCTCCTATATATGTATATGTACATATACATATATGAAACCTCTAAGTCAGTATGTTCATATGAAAATAAATCTGTATCCTATGTTACAGTCGAAAATGAATTTGTTCACACTCTTTTAGTGTGTGAACAATACATAAAATATGATTGGTCCAAAAGTATGGACCCCATATCCAAAAAGTGTTATGACCCACCCAAAATGGTAAGTCCCACTATTCTACACCAATCAAAACGTAAGTATTAACAAAATCGGACTCTGTTACAGTCCGTGCGAATAGTAAGACCAATTTTCAGTTCAAAGTGTATTCTATAACAACAAATTACAAGGATGAGAAAAGGGGAGGAGGAGATTGGAGCTCAAATGTACAAGCATTGCATGCTTAAACTGAAAGAGAAGCGATTGATGAGTAATGAGATTACCAATAATTGGTCAATGAGATCTCTAGCTTCTTCTGAAAAATAATTTGGATATCTGATATCTCTGGCAATAATTCTTTGGAAAATGAGCCACTCACTAGCATCTTTAAAGGGAGAAGTGCCTGAAAGCATCTGGTACACAGTGCAGCCAAGTGCCCAAAGGTCATTTCTGTTCAAATGCAATCAAAAGAAGAAAATAAGTCCCCCAACAAAGATGACACATAAAAATTAACATAAAGAACATAAAGGAAAACAATAGAAACCACCCATTCAAAATATCAGAAGAACTCTAAAAGGGCCAAAACAAGCTCGTATTACATTCCAGTGACAACTGGCACTTTCATTTTTTTTTTCCCCTGTGTACTACGAATACAGAAGAAGTTACTAGACTCCTTCAAGAAGTGAGTCCCTTACCCAAAAGTTGCTGGAGAAGAATTTAGAACTTCTGGGGGGACATAAGCAGCTGTTCCAACAAACGTGCAAGCTTTATCATCTGAAAAAGGAGACAAATGAGAACAGTTTAACACATTACTCAATCACAATATTGATATATTCCTGACCAGTGTGATAAATTTACCAGATGATGCATTAGGAAGGATTGTAATCTGACTATCCTGCATGGGCTTCACACTACCAAAATTAGCAATTTTAATATGTCCTTCAGCAGTGAGTAGCAGGTTCTCTGGCTGCATTTGAGAAACTATTAGCATTTCCCATATTGCCTATAAAACAGTGCATTATGGAGTGAATTACCTTAATATCTCGATGTATCAGTCCCATACCATGTATGTACTCAAGAGCATCCACAACTTCAGCTGCATAGAACCGAGCTTCATCCTCTGGCAAACGGCCTTTCTGTACACATTCAAATTTAGTGGATATTGGACATCATACAGTGAGAAACTAGGTAAGCAACACACACCACAGTATCAAACATAACAACAACTTTGAACTTCACGTATCACTTGACACTCGAAACAATGAGGAGCTGTAGGCACTGTTTGGTTGAGTTTTTAAAATCTGTTTTCTAAAGAAAAAAAACTCAAATACTAATTTGGTAAAATGAGTGTTTTATTTCTTTCACCAAATTAGTTTTCAATTTTTTTTAGAAAACAGATTCTAAAAACTCAACCAAACAAAGCCATAATCTTCTTATAGATTCTCACATAAACTTCCAAAATTTAAAGAATTCTATTTGTATGACTAAGAGCTTCCTGGTAGAAAGACACCTAAGCAGGTAATCCAGTGTCTCGAAATAATTGAGTCATGTCGCGAGTCTTGTGACTGATTGAGGATACATAAGCAATATAGACCTAGTCATCAGAAACTAGAAAAGTGTAATCTAGAAAAAAGATAAAATTATTACATCATAGTCCAACAAAATAATTGCTAGAGACAATTGTTCAGAAGTTCTGAGGATTTTACACTAGGAAAAGTAAAATATGTATCCCGATATTTTTGAAATTATTTACGTACCCTGGTTATTTGATCAAAAAGTTCACCACCTTCACAGGACTCAAGTGCCATGTCTTCACATATAATAAAATGTACCAATGTCAGATAACAAACCCAGTTAGTTAAAAACCAAACATAACAAAGGAAGGAAAAAGAAAAAGAAAAAAAAACAGGTTTTTGTGTGAATCTGGACAAATGAAATTTCAACTACACTTGAACCAAAAATACCTACATAGAGAAAAAGTATCTTGAAATGTAAAAAAGAGCCGCACAATGCCTGGATGATCCAACTGATCTAGCACAATACGCTCCAACTTCACATAATTGGTTTTGTTTTCTTTCGTAATAAATTTTTTATCCATGATCTTCAAGGCGTATACAATTCCTGAGTCTTTCTTCCTTGCTCGCACCACCTGGTGAAAACATTGATTGGAAGTAAGCAAATCTGAATAACACAAGTTAACAATGATATACCAAAAAAGAGCACAAGAAGACAAAACTGAAAAACTCTAGATATACAAGTTAATGTATGTTAATAACAAAATGGATGAATTCTAACACAAAATGATACCCATCAATAGAGATACAATTTTTGCCACCCCAAATGAGAATGCAGATAAAAAATGGGAACACATAATTTTAAAATTAGTAAAGCTAAGTGTACTCGTACCAAAATCAGAATAACTTGAATAAAAAGATTTGATGGCAACAAATAACATTGTTTAAGCACATCTGATGACAGCACACAGCATTTCCCACAAAGCATCCAACAGATATTAACACAAAAAACTCAAGTCCCCAATAATTGGAATTCACCATCAAATGGTATGTGAAACACTTTGATAATAACAACTGTATGTTATAGAGAATATATGACGTATATTTTCAGGAAACAATTTCAGGAAGCCTGTAAGACACATGTTTTAGGAAACATTTTCAGGAAGTCTGTCTATTCAAGTAACAACAATGTCTCAAGTCAATATTCATTCAAACATCACAATGCTATGGACTGCTCACATCAGTTTTAATTCTGTAATTTGACTTGAAACATACCACTGCACCTATGAAGCATGGATACTTTAACAAACATGTCGTACCCATACTATGTACTAGTACTTTGCATGATAATTCTACATACGTACTGGGTATACGAAACATGTACCTAGATTTTTTCTTAAGTTTTTCCGTAACCAAGAGGTACCTTAATTTTTTCTTCTTCATTTTTCCATAACCCAGAGGTAACTAGTATATAACTAAGCTACACCTCAGCCAAAATAATATTTTCTTTTATACAGAGGTGAAGTTAGTTTCATTGGACTTTTTGGTTTTTTTTGCTTAACATGATTTTAAAATTAAGCTTTGGTTTGTAAGTCATTTAATATAATGACATTTAATTTTGGATTAAATGTGAATTGTCGTTTGGATCTTAATTATCTAAACCGTTTAACTAATTTTTGCTTTACTCTAAATTAAAAATAAATATTTTTTTATAAACATACCAAGTCGTACCCGTACCCTATTTTTTTTAGATTTTACTGTATCAACAGACCAATACTCATACCAGTGTTTCATAGCATTGCACAGCATTGAAACTCCCTCAATATTAACAGCCTTAAAACACCAAAAGACTTCCATGTACACAACTCAAAGAGAGCAGTGGTTAGTTCAAGTTCATAATTTTAATACTTGTTAAGTAACTTTCTCAAATTTTACATAAAAGCTCTATAATTGCTTGAAGGAAACTTCAATTTTCTAGACATGATCATCACATATTGCCTCGGTACAAAAGTAATGTGCAATGTATAATCATCAGGGCACACTTCACTCAACAACTAGGTTTTAAGATTAAGTTGGGATGGCAAAATTACCCGACCCGACTGTATTTGGTCCAACCCAATTTTAAAAGAAAAGGTTTGTGAGAGCATTGAAAGGGTAAGGTCGAGTATAGACCAATTTTAAAACAAAAGGTTTGTAAGAGCATTGAAGGGGTAAGGTCGAGTAGGTAGGTCGAAATTGTTACGGTTAAGATAAAGTATGAAATTATATCGCTAGATTAGTTGAATTTGAAATCATGAATTCACACACGAAACCTAGAATTACAAATTAACAGTGTTAATTGATGATGAAGTTTCAGGGCGTTGCAAATTGATATCAGAGCATGCCACACACACCACAAAACACCTCCCAAGCTCTTGCCACATACAAGCCAAGGACAACAAGCCTACCCATCTCTGGCTCTCCAACTCGAATATCATGTTACACGATCCTGAGTAAAATTCAACATGTAGTTGTTGAGGCAAGGTTGCACTCATCCTTCTAGCCGCATTTGGCATCACTTATAGATTAGCCTTTTTGTAACAATCTGTTCTAGATGACCGCTCGAGCGGTGATGCGAAACTTCCAGTATCTTGGTTGTTTGCAGGCAGGAACGTTCGAGCAGTAATGTGGTCGCTCGGACGTAGAAATGAAACTCCCAGTATTTTCACTATAGCTCTGCAAAACTTCTAAAACCTTGCATTTACCGCTCGATCAGTGGAAAGTTCGCTTGAGCGGTCTCTTTGATTTTGTGTACTCTGCTCGAGCGATTGAAAGTTCGCTTGAGTGGTCTGTTTGGCACAGCAGTTTTAAAAATCAATCTAAACACTTTTTCCATACCTTCTCTCTCTTTATCACCCATTCCCGAACCCTAACCCTAAAAAACACTTGATTTCTCTTAGTTTTACCCAAGATCCACCCTAGATCTTCAAAGAGGGTTGAAGAACAAGCTTGGATCAAGAGTTCTATCGATTACTTTGCGATTTCATTAAAGTTTAGAGTTGGGACTTCATCTCTTGTCATCAGCCTTGAGATAAAGGTACTTTTAACTTGTTATATTTTTGATTTGGAGCACATATGTAATATTTTTTCCAGTTATAGACATGGATGAGATGATTTTGTGTCATAAGTGGGTTTGATCAATAAAGGGGGGTTATACCTCACGATTTTGGAAAAGTTTATGAATATTCTTGTTGATTATGGTTATAAATGGTAAATATTAGCTCTTTATGTATAAAGAAGGGAAAGGCTCCAATTTTCTTAAAACCTTCAATTTCAAATTTGTTCAATAAAAGAAATTTGGTTCAATTGGCCTCCTAATCTTGAAATTGGATGTATTGACTTGATTTTTATGTTGGAATATGCAATTTTGGGAACCTCTTAACACAAAACCTTGAGAGGATGACGGGTATGACTTGGAAAATTTCTTTAATTGTGAATGTCTTAAATTGTTGAATTGTGGTGAATTGAAATTACCCTAGGGGATTGAGATTTGAAAACTCGTGCATAACATGCATTTATTAATTATACTTTGTGGCTTTAAATTGTTAATGATTGGAAAGCATTGGAAAGGGGTTAAGTGGCGTAAGAGTTTCGGTTGTGAGTCGGGTTTTGGTTTTTGGGTTGTATATCATATATTGGTATCCGCGCAGGAAGTCAAGGTGCCTAATTGTCCTGTCTTGTGCATATCGCCGAATGAATATGGGAAAAGTTTTAGAATGTCCACAAGCTTGCTGTTTTTAGAGTCAGCGAATGTGTGGAAAACATGATTTTGAGTGTCCACAAGTCCGCCGTTTCTGAAGTCGGCAAACGTGGAAGACTAAGGTCTTGGGTGCCCAACGCCCCCCTGTTTCTAGAATCGACAGATGTGGGATTATTTTCTATATATATATACATAATGTATTTATGGTATACGACTCTTGTATAGAGATGTCATAGCATATTTATACCCCATGTTTTGACTGAGAATTTGTTATTGACATTACATAGCTTGGCATTATGGTTTTTAAAAAGGAACGGACATGGATTTTTCCTATCTCTTGCATGGCATGATCACATGTATCTCAATTAATTATATAACTTTGTTAATGGTATTTCCTACTGGACAATTGCTCACTCTAAAACTAACAACCTTTCAGGGGAATGATGTCAAGATGTATTTTTGGATAGGAGCACGAAGGCTCTTTTATGTGCTATGTGTTGAAGCCTCAACCTATTCTTTTGTGATGGAAACTAAATTCCACCTTTCGTGTATTCAAGTGCACACCTTGAGAAGATGTTTGCCTTAGGGCATTTATATTTTGTATTATCTCTTATCCATTGAACTGTTGTCATTATTTGAAGAACGTATTTATACATAAATAGTTCAACGGGGAAAAGATGAATTTTGAGTCATGTAACAGATTATTTAATGGTTTGAGGTGTTGTCATTTGTTATAATGTTTTTAAATTAACAGTGTTAATTGATGATGAAGTTTCGGAGCGTTGCAAATTGGTATCAGAGCTAACCGGATTTGAATACCTGTAGCTCGTGGGACATGGCTTACACCATAATGGATTTATCATGTTAGGATGGGACGTTAGTGCCTTATATGTTTGTGTTTATATGCTTGTGTGACTATGTGAGTATAGGGTCAAGTTTCTAAGATACGATCTGCATCCATCACACTCATCGAAGACCCTTTGGAAAGGCTGATCAATGTTTTTTCTACTAGAAAGTCCTTGAGCGTTGTGGGACGAGTTGATATCTTAGGAGGATGCCCAGTATGTGCTCCCTGTTTATGTGCTTATGTGGTTTTCCTTATGTGAAATAAATACATGAGTAGAGTTGAAATTATTCGGGTATGACTTGTGGAAAGACGTGTGAGAACGTGAATTGTGAGTTAATTTTATTCTACCTTTACTTTCATATAGGATGTCTGGACGTGGCAAAAGCCGTGGTAGACCTCGCTAGGGTGGTCGGGTATATTCCGGCCCAACAAGATCTTACTCCCCAAGAAGAAGGGGTAAACTCAACTTGAAACAACACGTGAACACCCCTAGTCCTTATGGAAATCAACCCCAAGATTTAGTTTTTGAGACGAGTGCACTCACGCTTATAGAACCATTTGGCATCACTTGTAAGTTAGCTTTTTAGATTATTAGCTTAAAGAATTAAAACAAGTTATAAATTTGTTTGGTGTAACTTTTGATAATATATGAAAAAAGTTAAAACTTGTTTTGTTAACAAATTGTTACATATCCTTTTTATTGTGCAAATATCCAGAATGCACTCAAAAGTTATAATTAGGACAAAAGAGATGGGGTTGTTTCATTTATACATATTTAAAAAATTGTTAGTAAAATTTTTGTTAAGCTTAGATCGACAGAGCGTTAACTAAAATCGCACCAAACAACACAATGATCAAGCAATTGTGTTGAGGTTCTATGCCTTGAAAGCTCAAAGAGTTCCTTGGAGTAAAAATAATGGAAATACAAACTAGAAGAAGAGAAAGAGAGAAGAAGAAACAAATTGTAACTCGAGAAAATCTTAATTTTTCTGTTCAAACAAGCAAAAAATGTCAAACAGATTATAATTAAAATTACAAACAAACACTATTAGTCAACTTTTTTCAAACAAATAAGCTAAATAATTTGACTTATAAGTGCTACCAAACGGGGCCTACATACTACATATTACTTTCATAATAAGGAATGAGATTGCTATTCTTCTGAAGTTCATAAAAGCTAAGGGCAGAGCAGACAGTATTAGATGTGAGGATGGTTAAGTGTCAGGCTGTCCGCCTAAACCGAAAGCAGTTTTAGACTAGGTGGTCCGAAATTAAATTGGCTTCATCGTTAGACATAGCTTGCTGCTGAAAAATTTAATAGGCTAATGCGACTCGCTTCACTTTTCAAGCTCGTGGCTATGCTCTGTCCTAACGATTCCTTGTGTTCAATTCATTAACACCTTTCCTTTGCTGTCGGTTTAGGAATTAAAGGTAAGACAAGTTAAGCATAATGAAATTGTGTCTCGGTCTCTAGGCTTAAAAAGCACGAGAATCAGCAGACTCTGCAACAGATTCAAATCTTCAGGCAACGTGGGACTTCGCTTCACAATAATATGTTCATCTATCCTAGATTAATCAAAACTTTGGAGGGCCGTACACCTAAATTTGTTATATAATATTACAAGTAAATAAAAAGAAGAAAGTTTTCATTTGGTATAATCCACAAATTCCATAAGGAGAAAGAAAAGAGAATATGGAAATCAGATTTTATGCCCACAACCAACATAAATATACAAGATAAACAAATTAGAAAGATGAAAAGATGGATGAAACATGACATTCAAATTGACCTCTAATGAACATAAATCATCAAAACACCATAATAAATCAACATAAATCAAATTAATTCAAAATAATAATAATAAATAAAGGGATAATCCGGAATTAACCCAAATAAATAAGTAAAGTAAAAAAATTTAATATGAGGAAGAAAAATGAGACCTTGGAATAAGAACCAACGCCGTAGATCCTGCCCAATTCGAACTCTTGGATGGTGAAATTCTCTTGGGGTGCCCTAAACGCGAAGCTCTTAGATCTGGATAAGTTCCCTCCATTGGAAGAATTGCTCTCAATCCTCAGCTTTGAATCAAAATCCTTCTCCATATTAGCTGCCGCACCAGACCCAACATTTCTCTCTCTAAAATTCCCTATTTAATATATAAAAATAGATACATATATAGTATAGTTTTTTCTGTTTATAAATATCAATCTCTCTCTTTCTCTCTCTCTTCTAAAAATAGCACACACACACTCTCTCTCTCTAGAAATCTTGGAAGAAGAGTAGGGCGGTCGTCGTCGTCACGGCCTCCAATGAAAAGGGGAATTAGGACCGGTGAACAGGACAGAGCAGAAGAAGAGCGAAGGCATGGTACATTCAGATCAGATTGTCTTTATATATTCCTTCTTTGAACCAATCTCATAAAGCCACCACACCACCACTTGAGACATCACTAAACTAAAGCAAATGATTCCTTTTATGTATATGTGCCTATATAATATATATAGTTTTCAACAGAGGTCTCTGCAAAATTATCAGCTTTATTTGAAAACCCTAGATAGAAAGCTAGTAACAGAGGGAGATCAATGGAGGAGAAGTGGATGGGAAAATTCTACCACCATTATGTAAAGTGTTTTTTTAGTTTACGATGTTATTGGAAAAAAAAAATTATATTGAGAAAGATAGTTAAGTTTTTTTGTGGTTGAATATGATATTTATGAGAAAAAAAATAAATTAATTATAGAATTTGATGTGAAATTTTATTTAAATTTATTTTTTTTGATTTTGTAACCTTCTTGTCTTTTAGCGAAAAAAACTCAAAAAATTTGTTCTTAAACACAATGTATGGTACATGAAAAAATAAATAAATAAATAAAATATGGACTAAGATAAATGTTATTGATAGTAAGGCTAAGTTTGGGAAGTCCCAAATAAGTCAAAAAGTCTAAAAGTTACTCAAAAAGTTAAAAAGTTAACACTATTCACCAAAAGTCAACAATTACGGCTGCACAACTCCCAATTCAAATTTTCCTCTACAAACCAATTTTTACAATTTTTTATTACACATTTTTCCATAAAAAGTCAAAAAGTTAACCCAAACATCCATATTTTCAATCTCAATTTTTTAGTCCAAAAAGACAAAAAGTACACTTATTTAGTCTTCCCAAACTTGGCCTAAATAAATTTAGGTAGAAAAAGCAAAGTGATTTTCTAAAAAATAAGGTGGTTTTACAGCAAGTAAAATAATTTTGGTTAATTTTAAAATAAAACAAAATGATGGTAATTTATAATTTGCTCCAAATATATTTATGATTTGGTATTTACTTATTTATTATTTGTTATGAATAAAAACTTACTATTTAAAATATTACCTACTATTGGTCACCTTTAGTTCTTGAAAAGTGTGCTTTTTTTATATTTTAAATACATAAAATCATATTTAACTATTTTCTCTCTATATTTTGTCTTGAAATGATTTGTAAAATGTAAAATGTGATTTGTAGATATTAATTTATTAAAATTTATTAATCATTATTATATATAGTTTTCAACAGAGGTCTCTGCAAAATTATCAGCTTTATTTGAAAACCCTAGATAGAAAGCTAGTAACAGAGGGAGATCAATGGAGGAGAAGTGGATGGGAAAATTCTACCACCATTATGTAAGTGTTTTTTTAGTTTACGATGTTATTGGAAAAAAAAAATTATATTTAGAAAGATAGTTAAGTTTTTTGTGGTTGAATATGATATTTATGAGGGAAAAAATAAAATAATTATAGAATTTGATGTGAAATTTTATTTAAATTTAATTTTTTTGATTTTGTAACCTTCTTGTCTTTTAGCAAAAAAAACTCAAAAAATTTGTTCATAAACACAATGTATGGTACATGAAAAAAAAAAAAAAAAAATATGGACTAAGATAAATGTTGGCTCTCAGATATTGATAGTAAATAAATTTAGGTAGAAAAAGGAAAGTGATTTTCTAAAAAATAAGGTGGTTTTACAGCAAGTAAAATAATTTTGGTTAATTTTAAAATAAAAAAAATGATGGTAATTTATAATTTGCTCCAAATATATTTATGATTTGGTATTTACTTATTTATTATTTGTTATGAATAAAAACTTACTATTTAAAATATTACCTACTATTGGTCACCTTTAGTTCTTGAGAAGTGTGCTTTTTTTATATTTTAAATACATAAAATCATATTTAACTATTTTCTCTCTATATTTTGTCTTGAAATGATTTGTAAAATGTAAAATGTGATTTGTAGATATTAATTTATTAAAATTTATTAATCATTATTGTGAAACATTAATTTAAACTTAATTTTAAAAACATTAATTTAAAATAGTTATATTATTTTTATTTTTATTTACAACACCTCAAAATAATAATTACTATTTAAAGACCTGTTTGGTAACGTTTGTATTTACTATTTTCTATTTAAGCGTAATTCTATTGACAATTAACTCAAGTTTGGTGTATTATTGATTGATAATTCATGTTTAATTAAAGGATCATGTTAGAGTGTGCAATCCCTTAAGAGTTGCACACCGTATGCAACTTCATTATTGGCCATTAGATTACACAAATACATCCTGGACATTGAATTCTTTAATTTTGAAAAATTGGACACTGGAGCAACCAGCTGACCATCTCTCTTTTTCTTCTATAGTGTATTCTCTCTCTCTCTACTTTCACTCTTTCGTTTCTCTCGCTCCCTCTCCCTCTACTACTCCCTCCTTCAAGTGATCTCTTCCCCTGTTCCTCTCTCTCTCTCTTATCTCTCTACTACGCTCATTCGTCTGTCATCCTCTGGTTCGACTGACTGCAGATTCTAAGTGGTTGTTTGTTTTAAAACTCTAATCTAACCCAGTGAGGAATTGGAGTAATTAACACATGTAGGTTAGGAGTTGGAGTAAAAAATACCTTAAACTATAGTAAAAAAAAGTCGTTTGGGGGCGAAAATGCAAAACAGACTTCGAACCACTCTGTGGATGTTACAGGCAGGCTCCTTGTGACAAATATGCCTTGTGGGAACAGAAAGGATGTAATTAGCATACGTACATTGGGAGTTTGAGTCAAAAATGTCTTAAACTTAGTCGAAAAAAGGTGTTCGGAGTGCAAAAATACAAAATAGCCCCTGAATCACTCTATGGATGTTATAGGTAGGTTCCTCGTGACAAATAGGACTTGTGGGGACAGGCTGGATGTAATTAGCACACGTACATTGCGAGTTAGAGTTGAAAACGCCCTAAACTTAGTCGAAAAAGGCTGTTCAAGGGATAAAAATGCCAAACAGCCCCCGAACCACTCTATGGATGTCACAGGCAACTTTCTCGTGACAAATAGGACATATGGGGACAGATGACATGCAATTAGCACACATAGGTTAGGAGTTGGAGTCAAAAATGCCTTAAACTTAGTCAGAAAAAGGCATTTGGGGGGCGAAAATGCAAAACATCCCCCGAACCACTTTGTGGATATTTCGAGTAGGCTCCTCATGACAAACACGCCCTGTCGGGACAAATGGGATACAATTATCACACGTACATTGGGAGTTAGAGTCGAAAACACCTTAAACTTAATCGAAAAAAAAAGGCGTTCGGGGGGCAAAAATGCAAAACAGCCCCCAAACCACTCTATGGATGTCACGTGTAGCTTCCTCGTGACAAATAGGACCTCTGGGGATAGACGACATGTAATTAGCTCACGTTATTTGAGAGTTAGAGTAAAAAATGCCTTAAACTTAGTCGAAAAAAATTGGGGGAAAGGTTTGCAAAAGCGAATCAAATCCATAGCTTTGTGACATATATATATATATATATTGTGCCATGTGGTAGGTTGTATTATGCAAACGGGAAAAAAAATGATGAAACGGAAATTCACAATGATGGCAACCCTAGGTGCTCTGTTTGGTTCTTGAGATTAGAAAAAAAGTGAAATTAAGTTGTTCTATGATCTTTTCATCTAAATCTAACCAATTTCAGTTTTTCTTGCTTGCAAACTAATAAAGACTACCCATGAATCAACCATGTATGTCTATGTGTCGTGAATGAAATGAAATAATTATGAAGTTCTTGAAAGAAGACCCTAAACACTATTGTTACAATTAAGCTTTTGTGTTGGGGCTATGTTATTGGAGTCAATCAATCAATATGCAAACATCTACCACACTAATTGAACTAGGAAGATTGGTAAACTGATGAAAAAATGATGAAACAAAAAAGCTCAAAAGATGCTACCCTAGGTGCTCTGTTTGGTTATCAAGATAAAAATAAAGAAAGTGAAATTCAGTTATTATAAAAATTTCGCCAACATTTTTCAGTTTTTCTTGCTTGCAACCTAAAGGCCCATGAATGAATGAATTCTTACATGTATGGATCTCTATAAACATATATACGAGTTATGTTATTCTTCCATGAATGCAACTCAGATTCTCTGTAGACAGTGTTACATTATCCTCAAATGTTATATGGAATTAATGGGTGTATTTTTATTTTTTTGTAGATGGCTTTTGGCATGGACTTGTGAATATTCTATTTTTGTGTACGGAGAACAATTTCCACTTTTTTATAATTCTGCTTTTTTGTTGTCCTCTGTTTTTTGTGTGGATTTGTATTACTTGTACAGAATACTTTTGGTGGCGTACATAATAGCTTTGGCATGAAACAAACAATTATTGCCGTGATATATAGATTACCTTTTGTCGTGGTACAGATTACCATGGTAATTTGTACCATGCCAAATAGCCATTTGGTATAGTAGTAAATATATTTTTGTGTACGGAGGACATGATTTTCGTATGATTATTTGTTGTATACCTCGTACAGGTATATCTCGTACAGGTTGCATGGAATACATATAGGCTGTGAGTGTGGAAAAATTAATATAAAAAAAAAAAAAACATAAAATGATGTTTTTGGCGAGATAGCCAAAAATTGAGTAAATATTTTTAGCGACTAAATAGTTAGTAGCTAAAAAAGAATTAAATAAAAACAAATCTTTTGGCGATGAAATATGTAGTAGCCATAAAAAAAAAAATAAATGAATAAATAAGACTTTAGGCGACTAATGATTTAGTAGTCAAAAAAAAAATTACTTTTGATGACTAAATATTTAGTAGTCAAAACTAAAAATATTATACCTTAGGCAACTAAAATTTTAGTAGCTAAACAATTGAAGCTTTTGGCGACACAAAATTTTAATAATTTTATTATCCTAATTAATTTCAATAGACTTGATTAACTAGTTTATTACCCTAATTAATTTTAATAGACTTGATTAACTAATGGTAATTTTAAAATTGATTGGGAAAAAAATTTCATAATTCGGTAACTACCCGGTACAGGTATGACATGTTTGTCGATATACCCATGCTTCATAGTCTCAAGATAATTCTAAATGAGAATTTTTATATTTGTTTTTACAAAGTATATATTATTTAAAAGTCATTTTCATAATTTGGCGGTGTTGATGTAAAAGGCGGTACCCTTTGTCCAATCCATTTGAATCCAATTATAATTGAGTTTGTAGGATAAAAGTTATTTAAATTATGACAAGTTTCTCACATAAAATTACATAATT